CGGATGGGAAAAACGGGCTGGATGGCTTTTTCCAGGGTGAAGGCTTTGTAAATTATGAACACGATAATTACGAATGACTTTTTTCTTTAATTGTTTAGAAAATTATGAGGTACAGTTTACAGGTACATATGACTTTTTTTTAATTATCCACATGTATAAAATTATAAAAATCTTCGTTATCTTAGGTATAATACATTTTTATCTAGTATGAGGGCATACGGTATTGCCCTCCGGCAAAACCATCTAGCTCGTCATAGCATAAATGATACATTTCGCCAAACAATTGATATAAATATCCTAAATTGGCATCAGGGTTTGCACGCTGAAGCTCATCTCGGGCCAGCAGGTATATCTCCTCGAAATTATCCCCGATGCGATAGTGTAGTTCTAAAGTCACGGGCATCCTATTGTAATCCATGTAGCCCATTGTAACACGTGTGACAGCTTTGACGAGGGCGTTCTTGTATTCCATCAAAGGCAGTGAATCCAAGAAATTCAGCCACTGGTTGATCCACGTAGCCTTGGCTTTTAATATTTCAATGCTAGAGTTCATCATGATGAGAGGAATTTTTTCCGCATCCCGTACGAAGATCACGCAGAGTTTTTCAAAACTCCGGTGGAATTTCACTATCAGACCCCCAAATCGCTTTTCAGGTACATTGGGTATCGTGTTTGGGTGAAACTTGGCTGTGTCAAAATAGTCCGTAATGGATACCATATCTTTGGACAGTAGTCTCCACTCATCCCGTGACATTGAAATCGTTAAGCGGTTAGGGCGCACCCCCATAAATTGCACCACCGGAAGGAGCTCTCCGACACAGGTCACTTCAAGGCCGACACGCACTTGTTTAGTCCCTGATTTATTGAGGGGAAAAACTTGTGACAATAGTACCTGCTGTTCGGTAGACACGGGTCCTTTAGCGTTAATATTCTCCATTACTACGATCTCATAGAGCAATATCACAAGGATTGAATAAAAAATACCACGTACGCGCGGGCTTTATAGCGTCAGATGCGAGAGTGGGGAGCACACATGATACACGTACTCGCTCATGAGTGGTGCATAAGCGGTCACATGGTACCGTCCGCAGCGCTACTATAACTCCCACCACCGGCGCTTGGAGGGCCTTATAATATGAGACGCTAAATTGGATGCTTTTAATACTTAGGTTTTTTTTTTGAAATTGTGAAAGTATTTGCAATGTCAGGAGACAGAACCATGGAATTAGTCGACGAATATCTGGCGCAAAACTCTCCAAACGGCAATTACGAAGAAGATCAGAGAGCTAAGATTGTTCTGAAGAGTAACAGGATTATTATTCATAATAATTCAGACGCTGAAGAGTATATGCCACGGAAATATCGGAAGATTTCTTCAAAAAACAGAGCAACATATGAGGTGGACGATGAGTCTTTCGACGACGAGTGTGACTGCGCACGTGAGAGGAAAAGAAACACGGGGAATAAAATACATATCAAGCATAGGAGAAATAAATTATATCATCTGGAGAAAAATGAAGTGGCAGTATACACAAATTTTCA